ATTTTTCTTCGCTTCCTAATGCCTCCCGTCCACCCCTCCAACCCCAACCCCAACCCCACCGCAAAAGCCCACAGACTTTCATCCCAAGTTCTCTTACCCTCTTGGGGACTTTGGCCAGGGAGTCGCACATGCTGACATACTCGGGACTGTAGATGTAAACCGGGGGCAGGGAATGCCCACTGTCCGCAGGCTCCTCTGGCTCCTCCATCTTCCACTTCCAGCCGTTCCGGGGCCACCATCCGGATCCGGCTTTTCTCGGACTCAGCCCGGGCTCCGGTTCCTGCTCCTCTGATCGGCTGCAGCGGTGCTCCCTAGTCAACATTCCCTCCTATTCTCCAGATCGCCAGTCACTGTCCTCGCTCTCCATCCAATTGAAGGAATGCATGGGCCTTCCCAGGCCAGAACCTCTTCATTTAGTGACCACAGTTCAAAAAAGGTTGGCAGGTTGGCAGATATAAAAGCCCAGATAACTGTCAATTAGGATCGATGTTTTATGGTACAAATAAGCACGGTCAAAACTAACCATCCTTGTTGCCCTACGGGGCCATTTGAGATGAGGTCAGATGAGCTTCAGAGCATGCTGGGAGATGTAGTTTAGAGGAATTTGAGGCGCGGAAGAACCGGGTTAATTACTAAAATAGCCGCGAATTTGAGTTTTAGCGCTAAAAAAAAAAAAAAAAAAAAGCCTCAACTCTTTATGAATTGTTTCAATCTGAAAACACACCCATATAATTAAAGACAGACACAATGTGGCCACCAAGAGTACCGCCCAGCTACCAGAGTGACTTTTTTTTTGGTGGAGGACCAATTAATGCTACAAAGGGTTTGAAAAGTTTACACAATAACTTCTGTGCCTCTGTGCCTCATTGCTTTTCATCACCTAACCATGTTTTTAAGAGTTAACAATCTCATATGTATAGATAAAAGTGATCAATTTTTAAAAGAGTTAACACTCTCAAATTGACTCTGGCAAAGCTGATAGCACTTTCCCAGGAGGCTGGCTGGTACTCTGGAAATTGCTTGGTAGACTCCAAACAATGATGTCAAATTACTCCTTAAAAACTCATGTGCACTAAAGGTGTAAGCAGATACTTTCTGTAATGTTTGGAGATTGCTGATTTAACTCCCCTTGCTTTTGCAGCTGTTGAAAAGTTAGGGAAATTGTTTAGGTTTCATGTGAGGGTCCACATTAAATAATACTCTGAAGCAGTTTTAGAATTATTACCAGTATTTCCAAGTTCCTAGAGGACCCTATGCACTAATACAAGCTGGTCAATGCTGAAGCCTGAACTGACTTACTAACACGCCTCAGACAACCCAATATCCATACCTTCTTCAAAAATCTACCTTGCTTTTTACTCTCTAAATATTTATTGAGCATTGCAATATGCACTTGTATATATTATCTCATTTCATCCTTGCAACAGTCCTATGAAGGAGGTTGTAATACGCCCTTTTACTTAGAAAAGCAGGAATTCAAAACCAGGTCTGCCTGACATTGAAGCCTTTACTGTATAAACTTGATTCCTCCAAGGATGACTGTGTTAAATCTAAATTTGTTCATTCGTCCATTTAGTATCCCCACAATACTTCGTATTCTGCAAATGTTTCTTTTTCCTGTGATGTGTTCTTTAACTAGAATGTAAGCCCTCCAGCTTCTTTTATACTTTCCCATAGCAACTAGTTCAAAGCTCTGCACAAATTCAGTCAAATATATTTGCAAAATTCAGTCAAATATATTATAAAGGCACTCTTGGCTGACATCAACTAAGTATGGTACAGCTAAGAATTCAATTTGATCTCTGTTCTCAGGGATTTTGCATGCTCATAGTGATGAGACAAATACATACAAAAAAACATATGCAACGCAGAGTCAGATAATGAATATAAGATGCTTAGATTACTTAATAAATAAGCATCAAGTATTTGATAACTGGTACTTAAATGGCAACTGGGATTCTTATTCAGTGTCATTAGAGGGGGTCTTAGCAGATGGACAGGATTTTACTTGAAGATGGGAACCAGGGGAGAGCATGCAGACTAGCATCACCAACATAAGTGAAAATACAAAGGAGAATGCTAGTGTATCTAGTGTAGTTTAGATGAAAGGGCTGGATAATGAAGCGTTTTGAATGCCAGGCTAAACAGACTTCTCATCCTGTGAAAAATGGGAAGATATTAAAACAGAAATCTTTAAAAAAAAAGATTTCTACAGCAGTAGTGTGTAGGAAAGATGAGCTATTGAAAGACAAGAGGCAGGGAGAGTGTCACAATGGTCCAGACAATAAGTAATGATGATTTAAACTAGGGTAGGGGCAATGGGAGCAGAGAGGGAGAAACAATACATAGGGTAGGTTCAATAGGTCCTCCTTACTACTTGGATATTGGTGAGAGAGAGATGGAAAAGAGTCAGTGAAAACTCTTAAATTTAAAGTCTTGGTGAAGAGTCTAGTAGTATCAATATAATGCAGAAAAGAACAAGGAGGAATAACTCATAGGGTAAAGCAGAATGAACATGAGTTAGATTTTAAAAATGTTAAAAGTGTTGAATTTCATAAATCAACAAGTTAAGCAGGTGCTGAACCCATTTTTCCCTACATAAGAAAGAGATAGCTAAAGTCATGAGTGGTTGAGATTGTCAAGGGAACTATCTGAGAAGTTAAGAGAACTACACTGGAATGTCAGTTACATCTTACTTAACATTTTCAAACCAAATTCCTGATTTCCCCATCCAAGTCTTTCCCACCCCTTCCCCATCTTTCACAGCTCAGTAACAAGACCAACAGCTATCAAGTTGCCTAAGCCAGAAACCTGGGAGTTATTTGTATTCGCTCTTTCCTTCACTCTCAAATCTAATCCATCAGCAATTTACATTGGTTCCACCTCCAAGACATGTCTTAAATACTGTACATCCACTTCCCTCCATCCACACTGCTGCTACCTGAGCCCTGGAACTCTAATCTCTCACCTCGACCTTCAGCAATATCTGACTAGTTTCTATTCCACTCCTGCTGACTTTCAATTCATTCTTTTTAGCAGCCATCAGAGTGAGCTTAAAAAAAAAACTCAATCAGATGTCACTTTTTAAAACCTGCCCCACACCATGGTGAGAAACTTTGAGCTAGGGAGATAATGTAATTTTTGAGAATGCCTGTTTGCGGGGGTTAGGAGGAGAAAAGATGCCAGAAAGGAGACAAAAAAGGAATACTTGGGTGATAACTAGTATAGTACAGTTTCATATAAATCAAGGGGTGACAGGGTTATAAGGAAAAGGTAATAACAATGTCATGTATCGCAAAAGAGTCAAAGAATCCTTTTGTCATTGGGAGCTCACTGGTGCTCTATGGGGAAAAAAAGAGAGAGGTAGAGAGAAAGCCAGATTGCAGAGGGTTCAAGAGTGAGGTCAACATTGTCAAGTGTAGTTTCCTTTGAAGAAATTGTGAAAAAAGTAGTAATATCAGCCTGGGGGAATGTCAGAGCCCAGGAATGTTTTTTTTTAGGACAAGGGAGAAACGCATCTGTTTATAGACAGAGGGGAACAAACCCCTTGGGCTTTAAGAATTGACTGATGGGACTTCCAACTTCTAGGAATATATCCTAAGAAATCAGAAACACTGATCAGAAACGATATATGCACCCCTCTATTCATAGCAGCACAATTTACAATAGCTAAGATTTGGAATCAGCCTAAGTGCCCATCAGCAGATGAGTGGATTAAAAAACTGGTACATCTGCTCAATGGGTTACTACGCTGCTGTAAAAAAGAAGGAACTCTTACCATTCACAGCAGCATGGTTGAACCTGGAGAGCATTATGCTAAGCGAAATAAGCCAGTCAGAGAAAGATAATTATCACATGATCTCACTCATTTGTGGAATATAATGAACAACATTAAACTGATGAACAAAAATAGAGCCAGAGTCATAGAAGCATCGAACAGACTGTTCAACCTAAGAGGGAAGGCAGGGGAAGGGGAGGTAAGAGATCAACCAAAGGACTTGTATGCATGCATATGAGCATAACCAATGGACACAGACTGTAGCGGGGTGAGCGTATGTACTGGGTGCTGGGAGTGGCTGGGGAAAGGTCAATGGAGGAAAAAGGAGATTTATGTAATACTTTAAACAATAAAGAATTGAAAGATGAGATTATGACAGGTGGGCGCTATAAGGAGGAAATGGGACTTGTCCTCGACCTTACTAGATAGGCAGTGGAAGGGAGAGGGTAAGGTTGACCAACTGACACCCAAAAATCTAGTCTAATCAGATGACATGAAAAAAGATCGTTTTATGTGTTCTTTCAGATGTAGCAAACAAACAGGTAACTGAACACTTCAACTGGGAACTTTGCTTTTAAACTGGAAATAGTATCCTCAATTGGCAAGAGGATTCAACTGTGGTGAAAGATAAACTGTTGCAGGAGGCTTTGTAATTGGCAGCGTATTCCTGCAGCAAATCTCACAGGGAGGCTGGAGCCTTGTTTATGACTAAGACAGAACACAAACCTTGCCATAAGTCCCTAACCTCAGTTTTCCACACGCTTAATAACCATACGGTCTTTAAGTTGGGAAGAAAACCTTTTCCAAAACAATGGATTTGCAGCCAGAGTACTTGAGTTCAGAAGAAGTAGCTTGAATCGTGGCTCCAAAGTTTTCCTGTGTGTGGTGCCACTGAGCAAGTTCCTTGACTGACTTACCTTGGGCATTATTGCTAAAGGTAGTTTTTGAACTAGCAGGTCAGGTTGGGCTGTGCCACTTTCGTTGATTTCTCCTGCCTTTACTTGCTGGCAGAAGCAGGAAAGCAAATATATTATAATGGTACCTACTCCTTTGGCCATCTTCTTTTGTGCATTTCACAGTCTGCCTATTGATACGTCAACTGTACTTAACAGACTGGCCCTCGTTTTCACACCATTTTCTAATGTCTTCTCTTTGGGGAATGTCTCAACAAATCTGAACTCTAGAATCACACTGCTTGGGCTCAAATCCCAGCTCTACCACGTACTAGTTGTTTGATCTGGAACAATTTGCTTAAAAGCTAAGTGCCTCAGTCCTTGCCAAATGCCCATATAACAATGTTTGGCATTATGCCAAATATTCCTTAATTTTGGGGAAAGTCTCCCCCCATTGTTGTTCTCATCCCCATACCTTTACTGCATGAGTATTGCTAGTGGTTTGAGAATAGGTCCTTGGCTTTTAGGCTTACCCTTAAAAGAAATCAGACTACTTCTTAAGTGGTCTGCTTAAGGTGACCATATCATCCAAACTGGGACACTTTTGAGAGTGACAGAGAGTGCTATTCATAATTATGCCAGGACAACAGGCATAGATGGGGACTGTTCTGGGCAAACCAAGACCTAAGGTTCACCAAGTTTATTAGAAAGTGAAGACTATATGTGGAAAACACTGTATCTTCACTGCATTAGTAAAGATACTAGGTATTTGGCAAGTGCAAAAATGGATGGTAGAGGTTTTGTGAGCTGTGGCTAAGAACAACTTTTGCCCTGCCAGCTGCATAAAATTCCCCGAATGTAGTAAAACCTAACTAACCAGGATGGGACTATAGCGACTGTTCATCTTTACTGGGTGAACCCTCTTCTTTTACACAAAAAGCTAATGAGTAGTACAAACAAGAATCTGTTGAATATTTATAATACTTAAGAGAACAAATTGTCCTTAGTCCTTCCAGTAGCACAGAAGTACCATTTACACACAACTGTTAATACTGAGTAAAAATCAGTCTTATTCATTCATTAGAACAGGTTTCCTAAAAACATCAATAAACCCAATTGAATTTAGTGAGCCTAGTTTGAGCGGGTATTTTAATTGTAAAACTGCATTTCTTTTTTTTTATTTTTTTATTTTTTTTATTTTTAGGTTTCCTAACATCAATAAACCCAATTGAATTTAGTGAGCCTAGTTTGAGCGGGTATTTTAATTGTAAAACTGCATTTCTTTTTTTTTATTATT